TATATATATATATATATATATATATATATATATATATATATATATATATCTTAACTCAATTGTTGTCACTAGAAAATGACAAGGTTCATTTTACAGAAAATGGCGTAATAATAAAAAGAATAATATAATAATACATGTTGTTTCATAGGCTATGCAAAATTCATCAGTAATTCTCTCACTCTAAAGATAAACGCTAAGTTGATTTGTCCACAAGAAAAGATGATCTAGCAAACCAAATAATTAAAAGGATACGCTTGCCTCACCATATGATGGCAAACCATTAGATGCATAATATGTTGGGACTGTGAGCTCCCAACATGGTCATAATCAATGTTTAAATACACTTTCCTTTCAGATTCATAATTTGCTTACGCACGATTCTCGTGCATGTATACAAAAAGTTTGGGACAATCAATCAATTTCAAGCGTCCATCTTTTCTTGTCCTCTGCCCGCCCCATTTGAATTGCGGTGAGGATATCATATAGCTTTCGAGTCACAGTTGCAGCTCCTGTTTTATATTCAAACCTGCACAGGCAAAGAAATTATCCATGATCAAGAACTGAAAAGCAAAAGAAGATAGATAGGAGAACAGCATTTTTATTTTTTTTATTTCCTTCCTTGCAGCTTACAACAGTGCTTATAGGGCACGGATGGTTTCTGTTTTAATGTAAAATGATTTTAGAGCAGATTTAAAGCATTGTTAATCTACAACAATCTATCAGTGGATCTTATGCTGATTCTCGGTTCCCTGTTGATCTTTGCCAAGAAGAAGATTTAAGAGCTCAGTCATTCTTTTTCATATCAAGCTCTAATATTCACTGTTTCAGTGGCAGATATTTTTTGAAACAATGCCATATGAATGATCTACACAAAAAAAAAAAAGGGAAAACATTTATCAGTACCTTTGGCCTTGATAAGTAATACTGCCTACTGGAGCAACAACCACAGCGGTTCCTGTGCAAAATACTTCATCAGCATCCATCAGATCCTCGACAGAGACAAGCTGTTCCTCCACCTGATTGGTCCAGAAATAAGAAAATTAAAATAAATGAAGTGAAGGAAGGAGAAAATAAATTATGCAACTGTTTTGTTTTTCAACTAAGGGAATCTGACTTTTTATGGATGTATAACCCAACCAACCAGTACTAACACATGTGGCTAAGGTCATATTTTTCAAATACTCTTCATGAATGTTTTTGCTATATTTTTCAATCCTTTACCTCTAGCAAAAATGAAAAATAAATTCATGTCTGTATTATTTTGGTATCTCTGACTCAAGATGCACCTTCGGTACAACTCATGATGTCTCGCAGTTTTTCATTACTAGCTCAATAATTATCACTTAAATTTGATGGATTAGCAAGATATAAGTTCTACATAGTTTTCTCAGATTAGTATTAAAATTATGTCTAAATATTTAAGCACTAAATGTATCAATCATGAGGGCCTTCATCTTTGGTCTTTCTTCTGAAAGAAGTATGAAATGTCTTCGGATTCGGTAAAGTTGAACCTGCCTAATGTCGATACCGGCGAGTTGCCTTTCAAAAGAACAGATAACAACGGTTCTTGTAATGATCAATTTCTGACCTGGTATCCATAATCACGAGCTATTTCAATGATGCTTTTGCGGGTGATTCCTGGTAAAATGGTTCCCATAGTAACCGGTGTTGAAATGACATCATTCTGCAAGAGAAAATCTTGTAAATATTCACCTTTTGTTTATTTCTGGTAAGAATAGATTATAAAAGCAGAGTTTTTTTTTTTTTTTTTCTTTTGTGAGATTACTTGTTTGTTAGCAAAAGAGATTCCTCCAAAAAAGAGGCACAAGCATACCTTCACAATGAACAAATTGCATGAAGAGGCCTCCTCCAAATATTTTTTCTTAATAGAATCAAGATATAAAACATCCGTAAATCCTTTAGCCTTAGCTTGTGTCTGTGCCTTGAGAACCTGAAAAATGGAGCAAGACTGAAAACCCTTGACGTTGTTGCCTTGCATTGAAAACATGAAAGGAGTATCTTTGGATGCAAGTGGGGATATAAAATGTTTGTTAGATTTCTCCAACAGAACCAGTAATTCTTTAGGCAAATATGATCTTTGGGTCTATTGGAATTACACAATCATACTGACTTGTCTACAAGGACCCAAGGACAAAATTAACTCTGGGAAACATTTTGAAGATTAATCTCATAGAGAAGCAACTTCGAAAACATGTCCAATCATATAGAATAGTGATTGGACATGTCAACTTGCAGATGGAGATTGCAAGCCCATGAACCTCATATTATACTAGATAAGGTAAAAAGAAATAGAAAAATACCGGTGCATAATTGGTAATTGTCTTCACACCACCAGTCCCACCAGGAGTGGCACGATGAGTGTTATCGTCTATTACTAGATTGATTGGAGCCAAACCCTCCTGCAAGTGTGAAGGAAGATTATATAACACTCACAGAAGAGTGATGCAAGAAATACTAATGCAGCTCAGGAAAATTAGGTAAATATGCAACATGTATGAGATTCACGTAAAAGAGGGACCTCAAAAGACACATCTACTTAACCCTCCATTTGAGCATAACCAAGTAACAAGTAAAAATACAATGTATCGATGATAGATACCGAATTAGCTCTTTATGATAAACAAGTAAAAAGGAAAATTATCTTTGGTTGCAAAAACAGAAATAATTTGGTGGCAAAATAAGAAAGGACAATCATTAAGCATCAGTTACCTTAAAATATGTACCCACAGGAGCAGCATAAACTAGAAACATGTAATCTGGTGCTGGAGCCAAACCAAGCACCGGTCCACTCCCTATTAGTAGTGGTCTGATATAGAGTGAACCTTTTCCTTGAGGAGGCACCTGTTTCAGAAACCATGATATAGATGGATCTCGTGTGAACCATTCGGAGCTGAATGAGCCCTTTTCTCACAGATTACAGAATCTCAGTAATATGAACCTAAGAACATCATACCCATCGTTTATTGGCAAATATTGTCTCTTTGATGGCATGAATGAACTGTTCAACTGATGGAGATGGCATGCACAGTCTCTCTGCACCCATTTGCATTCGACGTGCATTCTCTTCTGGCCTAAAGAGCAAGAAACCACCATTATCTACTTTCCGATATGCTTTCAGACCTTCAAATAGACCCTGATCAAGACAATGATTTCACAATTTACCGAAAATGTTCGAACAAGTTTTTTAAACATATATAGATATGTTTAAACATCATCACCTACTGAATGTATATGTACAATTTAGGAATTTCGAAAGTCCTTTAGTTTAGATTGGTGGAATGTACAATATGAAGGTCCCTGTAGGCTACATACAGATTAAAGAGAAGAGCTACAGAACTAACACTATCTACAACTGCAAGAAACATAATAAATATGCTTGACAGATGTGTGCCATAAATCTGCAAACCTGCCCATAATTTAGGACTCCTGATGATGGGCTCAACTCAATGTTTCCATATCGATTAAGCACTCCGGACGAGAATTTCTCATCTCGACCACATCTCATTACATACATGTAGTCGGTCGGTACGAGACCAAACCCAAGGTCATCCCAGTTAATATCAGCATCTTCTTCATCACTCCTGCAGATTTCACAAGTGAAAAAAGTTCATGTCAATCCGCAACTCGACAAGCTGCTAAAATTTCAGGTGAGGACACAACTTATGAAAATGATATCCTACAAAAAAAAGAGAAAAACAAAATTCAAAATAGCTAACTTTTCTTATTTTCTTTCAATCCCTCCTCCTCCCCAAAAGAAAAAAAAAAAAAAGGTAAAAGAAAAGACATGCCCCCTTTCTTGCAAGTTCTCCACCGGTAAAGGTAGTAATTCCAGGGTCTCTCTCTTTTTACTCGTTCGGTAGGAACCAAAATAAATACTCTTTTTTTGTAACCAAATGCTGGGGAATGTAATCAAAGTTAAGGATAGAGGATACTTAAGTCTTCAACATTTATCTTTTCCTTCCAATCACCAAGGTATATTTCTATTAATCTAAAATCTTAGCCAAAAACTATTAACCATACTAAAATAGAT